CCCCAAAACCCCAAAACCCCAAAACCCCTCTGTTTAGCAATTTGAGCAATAATTCTATTTGATAATAAGTTTAAAATGCAAATTTTAACGATCTTATACATTTTACTCGTCGGTTAGGTATTTTCAATACAATAGCTTTCCAGATAAAGAGGTTCTTAGAGATAGTATGTTAAAAGCATGCTTGGCAGCGAGTAGAGGATAGATCCTCTGTCCTCTTATACACTAACTTAAAAGTCTGATGATCTGGATGAACTCAGCTTGATTTTGGCCAAGGAATTATAGACAAATGAATCTTTGCCACTTAATTAAACAAATTCCGGAAATGACTCTACAAACTCAACTGATAGTGATGAGCCAAATTAAAGCATGACTGATTTAGACATACTTGCTAAAAAAGCATTAGGTAAGAACGATGAATTAGCACTAAAGAAAAGTTAGCAAATAGTTTTCATGTGCAATAAACAATAAAATGAAGACTAAAACATAAATGAGCAGATAGATTAGACAAGTGTTTAGGAAATATTGTGTCATATTTGCAATACTTCTAGAGGGATTATTCTTAGAAGCAACAAGAGAAACGAATGGTAAAATCATCTAAAGCTGACTGAGTCAGAAAATAATACTTTCAATGAAATTTATGATAAACTCTAAGGACTATTCCTTGATTCCAATTATGTTTTTTCAATGAATGGATATATGATGTGTTTTGCATCTGATTCGCTTCCAGGCTAGTATAGCATGAAGAAGTTATCTCGTCAATTTGATGATCATACTATTGATAACTCTGATATATATTTTGATGGCTAAGATACCATTGAACCTACATTGTTAACTTTGAGATATATTCTAAACCCAGAAAGCAAAGAGATAGAAAAAACTCATTATCAGTTATAAGTTAAAATTCCATTGAGGAACAATCACATTGTAGTTGATCACCCTAACGATACAAATATATTCAACTTCACTTTGACTGATTAAGTCATAGATAGATTCCTCACTGATTAGACAAAAGAGGTTGCTTATCTTTAAGGAAAAGCAAGAACATAAGTTAAAAATTTGACTATCCCAGTGAGAATATACATTGATTTGAGTAACGGAGAAAAGCAATTCCTATTTGAACCTTATTCAGGAACAACAAACGTTCAAACATTTCTTGACATATTTATGGTAAATAGCAGTTACTATCAAGATCTACCAATACCAAAGGGAATAAGTTCTATATTCTCATTACCTGTATATCATGCTATTGTCCAGTTTGAATCAGATTAGCTTTCAAATGAACAGATATCTTTCAAGTTTATCTTAAGGCTAGAAATAAACTTTATAGTGCCAGTAGATTTTAGATTTATGCCTCGCTTAGGTCTATCAGATGCTTCAGGCAGTATATTTATAGACTATCCCGAAAGAGATGCATTGGACATCAGTCTGTTCTTGAATGGAATAACTGTTTTGAACAAGACACAAGTTTTTGGTACAACTATACAGAAGTCTTATCTTCAAGATTCATACACTACTGTTATGAGAGCAATTGATTAATCCTATCTATCAATCACTTATCTAAAAGATAATTTATTCAGAAGCTTTAATGTAATCGACTAAGACTTCTGGCCTGTAGATGATAGAATATCTATGTCCATTATAAATTCAAAGATGTAGCTGGAGAATAAAGTAATCGAAGCCCCTATAATAAGAGTATCTTGGTTGCCAAAGCAAATGCAAATCTTTGAGGGATATACTAGTATTTATGGCAAAAATGATGCTGAAATATTTATACTAATGGCTAATCTTGCTGGGACTACTCTTTAAAATACTCATCTTGTGTTCAAGGGGGATAAATCACTTAATGCCTTTTAGAATACTTTTAACTTGGGAGAATTCCACTCTTTCTCAGAGTTAAAATCATTTGATATTTAAAGATTTACAGTTACCTTTACAAACTAAGACATTGACTTGAACTTATGGCCAGATGTAAAAGAATCTATCAGTTTTGAAGAAGATAATATTTGGATTGAAGGAGTGCAGATTGCCCTTAATCTGGAGCTAAAGAAGATTGAGGATATAGCTGATCTATTTCCTTAATCATTCGCTCGCATATTTAAGAAATTTGCGATAAATTCTAAGAGCAATTAGGAGTTTGAAGATATAGAAAATATTGGCTAAAGCATTAGAATGAGTGGAAGTCTGTTAAATGAACAGACCGTTAAGTTAGAAGGAATAATAGGTGAGTAAATTCAATTAAGTAGCAATGTTATGCTACATGATGCCAAATTCGTAATGAGCTTCCCAATAAACTTTATTCAGAAGAAAAAAGTATCAAAGCATCACAAGGATGAAAAATCGAAGCATAAAAGTATAAATAATAGCACTGTAGATTCGTATATCGAGGGTAGAGTATAGATATAAGTTGAGCCTGGAAGATATCTAAATTTCTTTGCTAAAATTGATAGTTCAAATGATGAGTGGATCAGCCTAGATGGATAGATGACTGGACTCTACACAAATGTACTAGGAGTATAAAATTTGCATTTATCTCAAATAAAGATTCATGGGTAAATAGATAATGAAGCTTAGATTAGAAATATCACTATATATGGATAAGGACTATTCGGTCAAGAATGTCTATAATTGAGTAAATCCTAGAAATACAAAACAAAAAATAATGATATTATGAGTTTGCTTGATCTGGTCGCTTAAGATTCAGAGAGTCCTTAATTTACATTATCATAGACTGATGCTTCACTAAGGGCATTGTTTGAAAGATAGCTAAATAATTAGTCAAAAGAGATCCTTTCACTGAATCAAAACTGCTTTATGGGAGATATTAAGAACTAAATTGATCTTCAGAATTTCGAGTATTCTTTTCTTAAGGGACATTTGTGGGTTGAAACTTTCAAAACCCTTTTATAATTTGTAATAACAGATAGAGAAAAATTTGAAAGAGCCTATAAAAGTCTAATAAATCCCATTACTGAGTTAAAGTTCTCAAATGGAATTGACTTTAGCTTTAACCCAGGAAAAACCACTTTAAAGTATGTTGACTAAGAAATCCCAAAAGGTTTTAGATTTTAGGGAAACATTAAATTTTTAGGTCTAGACTCTGAAACAACAATAGATTTTACAGCCTAATCAAGGCCATCCTACCAAAAGGTTCCCTTAAATGACCATTAGTATCTTAACATAAAATTCTAATTACCATCTTTTACAGTTGGGCATCAGAATGTCTAGATACTATCGTTCCAAGACTTTTATGTTGCAATGACTTCTGAGGAAGAAAAAAGAGTGTCTAAGAATCCGATACAAGTGTCTGTTTAGATTGATATTGATTCTGAATCATCTATAGCAGATATAGAGCAGATATAGATGATTGGTAATGTTAAAGTCCTTGACTTCATGACATAAGCATAGCTAGTGGTTGATGACAATTAATTATCCTTTACTACTAATAATGAGGCCTTGCCTTTTAATGGTGTATTTTAGGCTTAAATATCAATGCAAATAGATCTTAATCACTTGACTGATATTTCAATTGCTCCTTCTACTCTTAATGTTACTTTCAAAGATACTACTCCAGAGTTTAGTAAGATTAGAGATTTAGTTGATAAGCTTGTTTATCAAACTTGGATTAAGCCTGTTTCCTAAACATTCAATTAATATCATTAAAGAGTATCAGAAATCCTGTCAAAAATTAATTTAATGAAAACTGAGCTATGTGATGTCAGATCTTGTGTTTAATAGTCTCAGTGTATTAGTGAACCAAAACTTTTATGCAAAGAATACAAGATCGTAGAGTAATGCGAAAAAGAAAAGTAGTCATGCCCAAATCATGCCTTTGACATGGTATGCTAGACACTTAAAAGAGGTGTGGCTCTATCAAATGATGCTACGACTGATGTTTGCCAAGCTTGGACTTATGAATGTTCTAAAGACAGTTAATTCCTACTTAATGCAAAGTCAGATAACATTTGTGTTGAATCTAAGTACTCTTACGATTTTGAAAACTGTATTGATTTTACCATAGATTGTGAAAGGGGATACATTCAAGATTCATATTGTTTGGCTAAATGTACAAATACCAAGAATGAATATGAAAGACTAGAAAAAGCTGAAAGAAATTTCTAGGTTGTAGCTGATGCAGCTGGTGAACTCTTTGGCCCTATTCACGCTCTTTCTCAAACTAGAAATAACACAAACGGGCTTTTGATTCATATTACATCAATTGAGATTGATTAAGAATTAGATAGAACTCTAAATCCATCAGAGTACATTGTGACTGTTAGATATGTAGTGATAAACCAACTTGATTAACCAAGGGAGGTCTCAGTTCCTGATTTTGATTATCTATATATTGACGTGGCTGCTGAAAGAGTAGCCTAAGCGATTAGAAAGGATATGAGTGTATTATTTAACTTATCAGCTTCTTTTGGAGATTTTATGCCTATTGCTCTTTAAAACCTAGATAAATTTATGCTTTATACTGGAAATTAAACTCTAACAGTTGATATCATAAAGCAATCTGTGATTTAGGAGACTTAAAAACAAGCTCTTCATATAGATGGTTTAAAGACGCAAAGAGTGATTAAGGTCGCTACACCTGGTGAAATTAGTCTAAATAAACTTGGCCAGGCTACCTCATAAAATCTTGAGATTACTTCACTTGCGAATAAATTTGTAAAGAAAAATGATAATTCCTAAACCAAGATTCCAAGTGGTCTTGATTCAATCAATTATGATCTTGGAAAAATCAACGCAATTAACCAATGAAATCAGGAAAGTAAAATCAAAAAACTTAAAATACTGTGAATTAGATTATTATGCTTATTGAATTCTAAAATTTACTTAAATTGAGTACTTCGGGGTTTTGGGGTTTTGGGGTTTTGGGG